CGCTAACTGCCTCTCATTACAGCCTGTAACAAACCTCATCTCTTAGCATATTTATTAAAGCTGCTAAAATTACTAAGCGTCTGTTCCATTCAATACAGGCTGCCTTGATTTATAGGACTTCATCCCCAGACACTCCATCTATTAAATAACCAGGCAATCTCCACACCCAAAAACATCCCCAGCCCCAACGAAAAGCCGTGACACTGCTTCGCAGCCGTATGGGCCGTAGGATGTCACCCCCGAAACAATCTGCACGCTTGGGAAAGGAGTCGATACAAAAAAACCCCTGCAAAAAAAAGCAACGCTCCTACCACACTACAAACAATATCCCACAGCCCATCCACAAGCGCGCGACACATCCAGAGCCCCTGCTCGCAGGGGATCTCGCGCCCTACCCTGGCGCCCAGGGCCCTCTCCTGGCACCAGGATCTGGGGACGATCACCCGAAAAGCCCTGCGGCGGACGCCCGCGACACGGGGAAAGGAGGGTGCGCTCCCCGCCGGGCACCACCCTGCCCTGCCGCGTCATCTCCCAAACTGACCGGGCTGAAAAAGGACAGAGGGACGCCCGGGGACCCCGGCTCCCCTGAGGAACTCCCATCTACACATCCTACAAGGCTCTGAACATCACCAGCCTTCAAAAAAACAACGCCCCGAACAAGCCTTTCCCTTCCGGGCACGGGGACTCCCACTCCCCCTCTCCCGACCGCGAAAAACCTGCCTGACTCCTTGATACCCTCCTGCGACAACGATCGTTGCCTACCAGGTTAGCAGGACAAGGAGAAGGACATCTACAGACCTTGATTACATTTCCACAGATCCCACTGGACCTGTTGTCACAGACGGCATCTCAAGGGCGCTCCGGCTTCGCCTCGGGGCGACTGAATCGCGCGGCAGGAGTGGACGGGAGCTGGGGACGCAGAGGACGCCGTACGACCCTCGAGTGCCCGGCCGGCCTGACGGGTCCGGTGAAAAATGCTGCCGTGCCGATAACAACTGATCTAGAGCCATTCCCTGTACATACCACAACGTGGGTACCGATAATAGACAGTTGCTGTCGGGATGGGACCCTAATTCCCAGGGACGTTAGGGTCAGGCCGTGAATGGACACAGCCGTCGCCCCCTCTGGAGGTCCTCCCTGACCCAGAGATCCCGTACGGGATGGGGGTGAGGGACACGCCGTCCCTTGCTGCTGGAGAAATAACTGTTCGGATACGCACGGTCCCTTTTCCCCCTTATTCACGGTTTCACCTGCCTAGAAAAAGATGACAACTGCAAGGACATTACATGGAGAATACAGCCCGACAAAACGCAGCGGCGAGCGGCCCGCCGATGATTCCCTCGACCCTGTCTCATATTAATCGCGGGACAATTAATGCACAATGTTTGCTACGCCAAAAATCGCATCCGTACTGCGATTTCATGTTTGTTCGGAAAGCCGGTGAGAGAAATCGAACGGAAAGTGATGCCTCTAAATTAAATAACAATAAGCCCGTGATTTATCTCCTTCCCTTTACCGCTTGAGACCCCGACTGTGCGACGTGCCCATTCGTGCTCCCCGTCTGGTCCGGGGGCGTCCTCGCCCTCTGCCTATCTTTCCGCACGCTCGTTCAACATGGTGAATAAATGAGGAAATAAAAAAACGACAAAACAACGGACCGACAAATGACAAAAGCCAAAACAACCTCCCTACAAAAGGTTTCAAAGCCTCGGACTGTTATCCAACACCTGGCCTATCTCCAAGCAGACCTGGAGGCCCTCCCGTGGGACTGGACCATGACGCTGTAATACGCGCTGAAGTTAAACACGAGGGAATCAACGAGCCCGCGTGGACCCCTCTGTGTATTGGGTTTGCATGGCAAGGTT